CACAGGGCCCTCAATTACCCAGAGGATCTCTTGATGAGAACTGGCAACTGTGTATAACCAGCATTTAACACAAAGTTACAAATAAAAACAAAATACTAAAATGCATATATTTTTTCACAGTTGAGCCCCTTAGGTTCTTGATTTTTTATAGTATTTGTACTATTCATTCTGTTGAGACTTAAAATTATAACAAATTTAGTGGTCTCATTTCACAGGCCTTGGCAAGCACATGACAAGAAAATAGAAGAGATGGCAGGAAGTGACCAGAGAGAAAGCAATGACAGGAAAAAAAAAAAGCCATCGATATGAGAAAATGGAGATAAAGTGTACATTGTAAAAGCAGTCATCATAACTTTAAAAAATATAGTATTTGAGGGATATTTAAAGACAATCTCCACCTGGACACAATTTATAAAAGGGCCATTTTACTATATCTGATTGTGGAGACCCCAAGCAGCGACGTTAACTAACTTTTGTGCTTACATTTTTTAAAATTTAAACTTACCAAATCATTTACTAAAAATGTTTACTAGCTTCTTTAAATAAAGCACAATTAAATTATTCTAGCATATTTCAAAAATAAAAAGATGTCTATTAGAAAGCTTTTAAATAAAATTGTTAAAGAGATTATTTAATTAGTATAGCTCCATTTAGCTGGAACATTAAATAATGAAATGAATTTCACTCCCCAGTGATACTGGCTAAGGTGAAGCATTACTTTATGTAAATTCTGTTGGACTAAACAACACACCTATTACTAGAAGCAGCATCTTGGTTCAGATAAGAGAAAATCAGGTTAACCAATGATTTGATCTCATTAGACCAAAAACATTCTCTTTAAGGAATTAACAGAAAACATCTTTCTAAAAATTTCCCAAAAGTATGTTTCTGAACATCTATGAATTTAGTCACTCTATAGCTCAATTAGACTTCTCATTCACATCATCACCACACAAACACACACACACACACACACACACACACACACGCACACACACACACACGCACAGACACACACAATCTAAAACACTAAATACTGATTTGTAAAAAAGTGACTGCTATATATTTGCAGGCAGATTTCATCTGATGAAATATCACATTATTACTGATGTTGATGCTGCTAATTAAATTAATACCAAAAGCCCTATTTTGAAGCAGTAGCTGCTGGCAAACTGTTTGATTTTTAACAACATACTTTTGCATGACCTGCCATCACTTCCCAAGTTGAAACCAGTCCTGCAGCGACAGGTCCGTGTTTTGTAACTGCTGCTGAGCAGACAGATGTGTGAACATCCCCCTGGCATTCCATATGCATCCACTTCACATGCATGGCTTCTGACTACAACAAATAAAAAACAGCACACTTGAAATTCTCCAAAGACAAGATAATTACGTGCATCAGTATCTTGAAACTTTTACAGTGCAGGGAAAGGAATTCTAGCAAAACATCTACATACCAAATTATTTAGGACCATAATCAATTAGAGAGAGTATAAAACCCATAGAAGAAGAGGTGGAGATTTGCCAAAATCCCCCTAGGGCTAGATTTAAAAAACAATCCTGAAAGAAACAACGCTTTTATATTAATTTAAACTGTTTACATGTAAGCAAAATATAAGTAACATGCTTTTTTTAGTACATGCTTGTGCACTTTTTAAAAAATACATGTTTCTTATGAATACAAAAGCTACTGTAAAAATATTCCAGGTTAAGTAGTTAATCAGAGAAAGGATTTTCTAAAAATAATTCGTTACATGGATAATTAACCTAGACAAAATGTGATTCCATGATTACTGAGAAATGCTGAGACATTTTTTTTGTTTTAATTTTTAGTCCATTAACATTTTGAGAACCCTACCGCAAAATTGTGTGTGTGCGCGCGCGCATGTGTGTGTGTGTGTGTGTGTGTGTGTGTGAAATTGTCCAAAACAGCAGGCTGAGTCTGCATGTAGAGATTGAGGAATAGAAGGCTATTTCATGATTGTAGATGTTAGAGAAGAAAACAAAAAAGGAAAATTACTATATGGAGAGGATGAGAAAAAGAGTGATGGGTCAAAGAGAAAGAGCTGCAGTAGGAATAATGTCAGTAATATTTTACATATTTGTAATTATACTTCTTCTTGATCACCTCTTACTTGAAATTGTGACAAGTAACATGGCGATTTTCTTTTAATAATAAAACTGCTATGCTTTTAATAATTGTGCCATGTGTTTTTTTGTATTCCTCATCCTCTAAATGAATAGACCAGTGAAATGTAGTTTTATTCATTTCCCACCAAGAGTGCTGTTTTTGTTTTCCAATCTCACCTCATGTTTATACTAGATCACGTCTCCTCTCACCTATTTAGCAACTCTCCACTTTCTGACTTCCATCATTCCTTTTGCCCTCTCCACTGGATCATGCCCATGAGCATGCAAATTGCCATTATTTCTGCATCTTGGAAAAAGAATTTTTTTTAACCATAACTTCCACAGCAATCCTTCAATTAGCTTCCTATTTTTCTGTTTCACCTTACATCAACATTGCTCAAAGGTATCTATCCTTATTTTCTACAATTCCTTTCCTTCCTATCTCTCTCAGGCCCATTCTACCCAAACATTCACTTTACCACAAAACTGTTCTTATAAGGTCCCTATGAGCTTCATGCTACTAAATCCAATGGCCAATGAGATTTACCAAGCTTCTTCTCAGTCTCCTGTTTTGGCTCCTCCTACTCTCTTTAACTTTTATTATGGAGTGTTTCAATATCCATTATTTGGAGCTCTTCAATTCTTCATCTATAATTACTTCCTTAGTGATCATAGTCATTTTTATATCATTAAATGCCATCTATCTGTCAATGACTCCCAAACTGCTATCTCCAGGCTGGACTTCCCCCTGAACTCCAACCTCATATATTCAAATACCTCTTTGATATCTCCATTTGATATCTTAATTTATGATACACACTTGAAATAACATGAGAAAATTACTTTACTATTCTTTGCCCCCTAATATTCTCCATACTTAATTTTCCCAATCTCAAAAATAACTCAATCATTTCAATTGCTCAGTTATCCACTGTTATCAACCTTGACTCCTTGTTAATTTATATCCCACTTCCTACTCAACAGGAGCTCCTTCCTGTTGGCTCTACTTTCAAATATATCCTAACTCTAACTGCTTCTTAACACCTTCACTGCTACCATCTTGGTCCTATGCACCATCCTCTCTAAACTTCCACCCTAGTTCCACACATTGTGTTGTCAACATAGTAGCCATGTTAATTCATTTAAAAAGTCAGTCAGGTCATGAGACTCCTCTGCTTAATTTTTCCTAAGGACTCCCCACCTTGGTCAAAGTATAAGCAAACGTTTAGAAGTGTCTGCAGCGACCTACATGTTATGGTCCTCCTTCATTTGGCCAACTTCATTTCCTACTTGCCTTCCCTTTGTTTCCTCTGCTCCAGGCACATGGCCCCCTTGCTGCTCCATGAACAACCTAAGCATGCCCTTCCTCATAGTCTTTGAGCTTGCTCATCTCTACCTGCCTCTCTTCAATTATTTCAAGTCTTCATTCAGTTTTTTCTTTTCAGTGCAACTTCCCCTAACCATTAAATATAAAATTGCAAAGTACCCCCATCCCTGACACTCCTTATCCTCCTTATTTGCTTTATTCTTCTCTATGGTACTTTCTTCTAATATGATAACAATTTACTTTTTGTTATTATGTCTCCTCTACTAGGATGCAAATCTCATAAAGGCAAACATTTTCTGTCTGTTTTATTCACTGTTGAATTCCCAGTATATGTAGAATAGCTCCTGGTACATAGTGAATGGCCAATAAATAATTGGCAGATAAATAAATCCTAATATCAAACTCTAATAAGGT